CCCCTCTACCCCTGCCACTGGCTGGAGGTGAGGCAGCTTGGCTCTGGGATGAAAAGGGATACTGCAGCACTCGAGAACCGTGTGCACAGAAACTTGCCTACAAGCATCAGGGAGTCCCGCACCAACCTCCCCTTCCTCCCCCTCCTCCTCCTCCTCCTCTCTCCTCTGCCTCTCCCTGAGATTTTTTTTCTTTCTATAACGGCCAAGACTTCACCAGGAAAAAAAATGATCTACATATAAATAACAACGAGTGTTTACAAGATCCTGGATGTGGATTAGGACGTGAGGAGCAGCAGGAAGAACGATATCCATCTTTACAGAATTAGAGAAAGGAAGAACTTTGGAAGTGGAGAAGAGAGCAGAATGCAGCCGCTTACCTCCAGCGCGGCTCTCCTCTCTCTCCTGGACACCGAGCGCTTCCTTTTCCTCCACGGGAATCGAGACACTTGGAGAAGGAGAGAAAAATAAATCAATGTCTTCCTACTTTCTCTTATTTCCAGTCTCAGAATGAATAAGTCAGGAGTCAAAGACAGCCCTCTGGACACACCTTCACTTCCCCCTCCAGGGAACTCTGCCTCATAAACACTCTCAGACCCCTCACTCAACTGCACCCGGACACTGGAAACCCAAATTGCTGAAAACCTGTTCAGGGGAGGGATGAAAACTACACACACTCTCACACTGCAGTTTTTTTTTTTCCTCTCCCTTCTTCTTGCCCACTCGCTCTGCTGCTTTTCCCTCCTGTCTTTGCCTGCACTGCCTCCTGATTGGCTCAGCTGCTCCTCAATAACATAAGCTCTCTTCTTCAATAGGAAGGAGACAGTTTTATGGTGCACGAGAAACCTTCCTGCCCAGCTCATCTCTCTCTCCCCCCCTCTCTCTCTCTCTCCCTCACCCTCTCTCTCTCTTTTCTCTAAGTGCCCGTGGAGAAGAATGCTGAGCTCGGCACTTTCATACAAATCCAGCTCAGAAAAAAAAGAGGAATAGAGGACAGGGGGAGGAAAGGAAGGAGGGAGGGGGAGAAAATGAGTAAGAATGGGGCAGAATGAGAGCATCAGATGGGAATCAGTGGACCGCAGTGGGACAGGAGCGGAGGCTCGGTGCAAACAAAGAGTGAGGGTGTGGGGGGGGGGCACTGGGTGGGGTGAGGGCATCCTCGGATGCAGCGACGACCGGCCGCGGCACGTGAGAGTGTGACGGCGGGTCAGACGCGAGCGATTCTCCCCAACACTTCCTGTGGTGCAGCGCGGTGGCTCTGCTGCAGTGTGGAGTCTAACTGCCAGCCACGGAGGGGGGATGGGAAGGGAGTGGGGGTTGGTTGCAGTGATGCTGAACTACAGTCATCCAGCCATCATGGATGTGAGGGCGAGCTGGGCAGGCAGCCGCAGTCGTTCATGCCTCTCTCTCTCTCTCTCTTCATCAATTATTGAAAGTTCCCAAAGGACATGGGGGAGGGGAGGGACAGGGGAGAGAGGGGTGAAGGGGGGGGATTATGATAATGACCCTCACTTAAAGTACACACTGTCAACCTGCTTAGAAATAAATAAATAAAACCACTGTTTGTGGAGCAGCTTTGAAACCATTGGTTTGTTATAATTGGCTCTAAATGAAATCTATGTGATTTTTTTTTTTTTCTCGTTTCGAACTGTTAACATGAAAAGAACCGATTCTGATTCTGGAACAAATGAAAAAGTGGAACTGATTTTATGATTTCTTAGACTCTGATCTGCCTGTGGGTCCCAAAGTTTTTTCTGCAGCGCCCCCTTTTGTAGACAGGACTATGGCTGACATTCACATTTATTAGTTAAAAAAAAAATAGAAATGAATTTGAGCTGCTGGGCCCTCTTGAAATATCTCCGTGCCCCCCACAGGGCACACGCCCCACACTTTGAGAAGCACTGTTCAGTAAATCAAATGTCCTAGCCAAGTGGAAAAACTTCAGCAAGCACCAAAATCGACACACACACACACACACCGGTGACCAGTTTGTGAATTTTAGTAACCAGAAAGAGTGACATAAAATACAAACTTAGATCAGAGGAAGAAACTTTAATGATAAAAGAAGAGAAGTTATATTTTTACAGAAAGTGAACTAACGTTTACTATGGTATAAAAAATAGAAAGTCTGTGTGAATTATCTACATTCTGTCAACAAAACAGAAAGAAAGAAAAAAAAGTGCAAAACCAAAGGAAACACACACTTCCGTCCATCATCTGCGCCAGTTTTCCTTCATCACCGCGGTCTGTGCTTTGGCTGGAAGACTGTAGACTGTGATGGAAATGTTGGTGTGTTTGAACACCTGCTCCAGAATCACCGCCACTCTCCTCCACTCCAGTCGATCCAGGCCACAGCCGATGCTGTTGATGAGAAAGTGGGAAAAAAAAAGAAACATTTTTTTTAAATTGTAGCCGTAACAAACGTGACACAGATAAGGTGACGCTCAATCACAGGGGGAAACTAAATACAAACCGAGGCATTGATATTTTTGTCACTTCGTTGCGCAGACAGTGAGACTTCATGTCCTCCAGGCTCCGCGTCAGGCTGTCGTAAGTGGGTTTTTGGCTGGCTCTCTTCTTCGTGACCTGTGATGTGACGATGACAGTAACATTTCAGATGGAATGTCTTTTGTGTCACCTGTGAGTGTGTGTTCACTCTGAACTCCTCACCAGGTAGTAGACGAACCGTCCGTCACGCTGCAGGACAGCACACTGGCCCGGCACCTTCTCTGCTCGACGACAAAAAACAAACGACACACACTTCACGTCAGAAACATAATGAGCTCCAAACACTCTTCAACTTCACTGATCACTGAGGGAACGCACCGACTTCGACTTCACTGATCACTGAGGGAACGCACCGCGCAGCAGAATCGACCCGTTCAGCTTTTTTAATCCGGCGCGCCAAACTTTTCCAAATGATATAATGTACAGTATTTATATTATCATTATACTTCTGCCCTTTTCCATGCAATACCGATGTTTCCCCAATAGATGGCGTAGAAAATAATAAAAGCATTTTAGCCCTAAATGCAAGTCAAAACGTTTGCCCACGTCTGGACTAAAGTCACAGATGTTTGTCATAATCCATATTCTGGGTTTGTCCGCGTCAGTGTTGTTTAGTAAATGAAGCGTGGGACAATGAAGACAATATGTCCTGGTAGGGACATACTGAGCAGGACAGGGACGAGCGCGCAGACACACAAAGGCCAGCAGGTGTACAATCACAAGGAAGTACAGAGTAAACAGCAGAGAAACAGGTCGTGCTGTAACCTCAGAGCTCACCTGTCTGTCTGTCTGTCTGTCTGTCTGTCTGTCTGCTGAGGTCTGAGGTTACAGTACGACCCACGCAGTACTGCAGGAGTACTGCAAGAGTACTGTAGGAGTACTCAGTGAGAACGCACAGTAGTTACACTTTATTTGTTATTTGTAATTCGATTTTTAATTTTAATCCTGATATTATTATTATTATCAAGAATGAATGGAAATATGACAGTAAATCATATTATTATTATACGTCATCTTTCTCCAACGTAGGACATACACGGACGAAAGTGAAAATGAACTGCGTGTCATTTTTTTTTTTTTTTTTTTTTTTTTGACAACATAGCATTGAAATACTGCAAGAAGTTACAAGTATGACATTTCTACAGTTTGGATTTCAACAGACTAGTCCTCGTCCACATGGACGTTTGACTCACTCTGCTCCTTCAACCTCTCCACGCCTTTGAACTTCTGCTTGAACAGCACAGCTATGCCTGCCCCCATGCGGCAGTCTTCGCTGATGCAGTGAGCCAAGGCCTCGTCCCGGGGACAGGAGAAAAGGTCTCCCGTCACATACTGGATTCTCCAGCCGAGTCCAGCGGACTTCAAACGACAGGGCGGAGACAAGGAAACGGTTACACAGCGGAAATAAATAGGCACGAAATAAAAAAGACTTTAGCCGCTGACACGCTGCTGTGTTAGCGTGTAGCATTTGTTACCTCGGTTCGCTCCTTGCCAGCGGGTTGTTGGACTCCACTCCATGTTCTGTAAAGATTTATAACGTTCGAGGAAGACATCCTGCACAACAACATATACGACACAGTTGAGCTCTGCTTTTCTTTTATTGAGCTCGACTGACGTTCGTCTTGTTTATGCCGCACTACCGCCACCTACCAGTTTGGAGGTATAACACCACCAAACAACATCTCGTCCTTCTGTCTCTGTCTTACATTCTTTTTTCCGTCTTTTTTTGTTGTTTTTTTTTCATCCTTTTTCATCTTCTTCTCAAGTTTCATTCAATTCTTCCTTTTCTCCTCCTTCACCTCCTTTTCTCCTCATTTCCTTCTTCCCGTATTTTTTATTTGCATTTTTTGAATGGGTGTAATTCCCTTCATTGCCCACAGGGCACTAATGTCAGGTGAACGATTAAAAAAATTAAACTGTGCACAAACTAGACATATTTAAATTTTTAAAACCCCACAGTGTATTATAGTAGGGATTTGGTTAGGAATTCTGGTAATAAATAATAATAATACAAATACAACAAAATAAATAAATATACTGCACATGACTTAAGACTGTCAGAGATTTTACAAAGTAAAAGTAAAGTCACAGGTATTTATAAATTATTTTAAAACTATTCCTACTATGTACATTACATTGTGAAGCCTGAACCTGAATTAACAAGTATTACTGTAAAAACATTGGGAGTAAAACTTCATACAACAGTGTACACTTTACCCAAGTGTGGGGAGGTCATAACACAACACACGGGAGTAAAACTTCATACAACAGTTGGGTAAAGTGTGGGGAGGTCATAACACAACACAGTACTGTGCATCATGTATTTAATTTGATATAAAACTAAACATACATTTTTAAAAGAAATCAATTCTTCCTCTGCAGCCCGGTACTGGTCCCCAACCCGTAGGTTGAAAACCCCTGCCGTACACACTGTGTTATAACAAAACAGTAAAAAGACAGCGTGGCTGGTTAGACTGCAGTTGATGTCACAGCGTCAGAAGTTAGCGCTGCGTCTGCGCTCGTTTAGCCAGTCTCCAGGGTTGACGTCCATCTGCAGCATCTTCATCACCCACTTGTCCCTGCGTGCTCCATCGATGAACTCGTCCAGTGACAGCTCTCCTGTGTGATGACATACACAGTAGTTTTACATTTTATAATTCAGGAAATCAAAGTTAAAACAGACATAAAAATAAAACCCCACACCCACTCACCGTCTCCATTTTCATCAACCAGCTCAAATATCCGGTCCACCACTTGGTCCGGGGTCAACAGATTGCACTCCTCGTCCAGCTCTCCGTGACAGGCCTTCTTCAGTCGATATATGGACTACAGACAGAGGAGAGGGTTTTAGAAACACGATCTCCAACGACTCCTGAAAACATCCCCAAATACTTCACAGAACGAATAAAGTTACCTCCACGATTTCGAGGAGCTCAGTTTTATCGATGCACCCGCTTCCGTCTTTGTCGTACATTTTGAAGGTCCATTTGAGCTTGTGCTCCAGTTTACCCCTCAGCACTAAGTTCAGGGCTGCGACGTACTCCAGGAAATCGATGGTGTTGTCCTGAAAACATCAGTTGAAAGACGATCAGTGTTTTATATACTTTCTGTTATGGTACAGTAAATAATACCTAGAACTAGGTAGAGAATTACTACAAAAACACCACAATACTCAACACTGTCATTTCATTATGAAGTTAAGAACTTACTCCGTTCTTGTCGAAGGCTCGGAACATGTTCTCTATGTAATCTGCCGCCTCCTTGTTGTGAGTGACACCAAAGAAGCTCTTGAACTCGTGCATGAACAGCGTTCCACTGGGACATTCAACCACAAACTTTTTGTACCATTCCTGCAGCTCGGCCACGTCCATTTCCTTGTCGGGGTCGCCGTCCTCGCTCAGGCGTTGACCCATCGCAGGAGAAAAAAAAGGACAAAAAAAAAAAGATTGATGTTAATTTTTAAATAATGTCAAACTTCATAAAACTGATATAATTCCTAATAAGAAATGATTAGAGATTAATAATTAGTAAACTAATGTAAAGTCATCAAACAAGCCCAGAAATGATTAGTGATTAATAATTAGTAAACTAATGTAAAGACCTGCTGGACCATAGAGGTTCAATGATATCTATGTCCTGTCACACACACTGTAACATCACATGGTAAAGGATTATACATGGAAATAGTAACATGTCCAAATCAATTAGACGTTGGATTAATCATCCAGGGATTTCCTGGAGCCCTTTTTACTCACCTATCAATGAACACTATATTTATTCAAGTTATTTATTTTTTATATCTTTGATGAAAAACAAACCTTTTATGCTTCAGGTTTTTAGAATATAAATTTATGAGATTGATATAACTTTTGTGTGTAAAAAGTAACTTTTTGAAATTCACATCTATATTTTTTTTCTCCATCATTCAGGACCAGAGTTTCATCTTTGTAAAGTACTATTTGTGCTAAATATATTTTGTGAAAAATTAGGTTTTAAATACTTATGTCAGGAGTCCAGAGATTTTATTATGTTGTTGAGTGTTTTCTTAAAGGTGTGGGTTTTTTTTCTTCAAACATTTACAAATGTCAGTTCTTCCCCAGTCCAAAGGTCTGACACCCTGGCACCGGTCGTTCTTGGCCAACCTGAAGTCGTTTTAGTTTATTTATTTACAGAGTATGTCATCTTTATGTTCTCTGAGGTTTATAATAGAGTTTACTCGTAACCCATGTCAAACTATCTGACTCTGAAAGGAAATCTTCCCCTTTTAGACATCAGGCTGACATCAGTGTAAAGACACTGAAGTCCTTGTTCACAGCTGAAGCCCGGGCCTGGTCTTGGACATCACAGCCTCCCTGCCTGGGATAACTGCTGACGTCAGGGACATGTGATAATCTTATTTTGAAAATGTCAAGGATACCTGTGCAGAGACGGGACGTTATCCTGGCACCACGGTTTAAAAAAGTCCAATCTGTGATGATCGGTTTTCACAACAGGCAGGTTCACAAACCGAACCATAACAAAATGGTTTTATATATGGATTTACAGGACTGTGCAAACGTTTCAGGCAAGTGTTTATATGCACTATATCATTACTATACATCACCTTTGCTCATATAAATATCAATATATACTAAAATGTATATACATATGCATATTAGTATAAACCAGTACTTCTCAAATAGTGGGACGGGCCCCCCGGGGGGGCACGCAAGAGGCTTCCAATAGAATATGGCTCACATATGGACATGAGTGTACCACTGCTGTAATGCTTGAATAATAACAAGCCTCCAGTCACTAGGTGGCAGCAACTCATACAGTGAGTTTGTACAGATAAAAACATACATGTTATCAAGGTCTCAAAAGTATTTTAAATTACGTGGGGGGGAGGAGGGGGGGAATCAGTGTCATGCTTACATGAAGTTCCGCTGGTGACGCTAGGTATTCTAACCAACTCGTTGTGCTAGTACCGACTTGTTCTCGTTCTAAGATGAACCGAGCGTGCTCCATTCAGGTTTTAGCATTTATTGCTTTCCCAGGATCACTAGGATACAAGCTCAAGCATTCCAATGCCACCGATCATCTGTTTTGCCAAGGCAGTGGACAAGTATTACAAGGTTTACAAAACATGGAGTACAGGTACGTACTGTAAAAATCCGTGCTATCAAAAAGGGACAAATATACAGCTCGAGTACATCTTACACCGAGTGGAAAAAGTACCACATGTTCTCAATACTGACGTCCATACAGAAGAGCTTCATTTGGGACACACTGATCTATAGACCGTGTCTATATCAACCAAATATTTACTACTGGCAATGTTGTATGTTAAGATTGGCCTCACAGAGTACGAAGGAAGTAGAACATCAACCAACGTCTGTTTGAAGGTCACTCTAAAGTGATGTCGGCTGTTGACAAAAATCATATTTTATCATTTGTGCGTCTCAGAAATTCTCACAGACCGTTGTTATGTTTTGATTTGAATTCCCAGCGACCTCATTAACACACTGTGCTGAGGTCAACGCTCGGAATTAAAAAAAAAAAATCAGGAAATTGGGGAATACACCAAATATTCAATTAAAATAAAAAAAAATAAAAATCAATATTGAAATTCGGAATCAGTTAAAAGACTGTAACAAGTCTTCTGGGTTTTTTTTGTTTTGTTTCAGTTCAATGACCAGGTGATGCGTAGGTTTGACCAGCTGAAACTCAAGCTCTTGTCTCTGGTGTCCACGTTGGTCCTGGTCCTGAAGTATAAAAGGTCCACAGTGATGCTTGTATACCGTTGGCGTGGTATAGTACAGTGTAAAAAAAGAAAAAAAATAGTCAGAAGGCAGAGGCCGTTAGTCACGTTCCCCAGGCTCTGTTACAGCGTCTGTGCTGACTGAAGGGTCAGCAATGCCCTCTGTTGACCGGTCCGGTGAACTACAAGGAGAAGAGAGAAGCTGTTTGCTGCTGGAAGGACACTGTTCATCACCGAGGCTGCTGCTGCTGCTGCTCTCCTCCACTTTGTCCTTCTGAAAACTTGTGCTTTTCTCTGCTGCACCAGTCAGCTCTGGTTTGTCCTCGACGTCCACTTCTCTGTCACTGTGGACGTCTTGTATCTCAGACGAGTCTCCTTCTCTTTCAGGTCCCTCAGTCTTTGTGCTACTTGGCTCTGCAAAAAACACATAAAACATATATGATAATCAAACAAAAGTTTTTTCACGAAATTTTATTTTGAAAATTCCAACACTATTATTTGGTGTTTATTTTGGAATCCAGTTGTGGGCCGGATTGGACAGTTCTGTGGGCCAGACTCGGCCCACGGTATAAACAGAAGAATGTCCACATCTGGACTGTGAGCCCCCTATTGGTGACTTCTAATGTAGAGTGTAATAATCACTCACCGAGGTCACAGGTCGTGTCACAGGTCGTTTCACTTTGGTACTCCTGACCACCAGACTCTCTCAAAGGTGGTGTCACCTGTGGTGACAGTTCACGACCAGAGAACTCTTTCTCTTCTTTGACCAGTTCCTCTTCTTCAAACTTGATCCTCTTCACCTCTTGCTCCTCTGCGTCACGAATGTTATCTTCTTCCTCTGGGTGTTTATGTTTCGACCCAGGGTTTGGTGTGGAGTCTTCCTCTGGCTGCAAGGAATCACTGCTGTAATACAGGAGAGGCAGGTCGTCATTACGAAACCCAACGTGAAACCAACATCTTTATTTTTAAAGTCTATTTATTAGTGATGTCAATGAATTTAATATTTATTTAAATAAAACAATAAATTCATAACTTCTTGCATACTAATCCCACTTTTCTTTTAACTTGTTCTAAAAATACCTTAAAAATGTGTGTTTATTGTTACGTCCACAATCCTAAACAAGGTGGTCCGGAACATTCTTCTTCTTGTCATTCTTCCTTCTGTGCCTCAACACATGACAGATGACAGATGAGACTTTCTTTACCTGACGTGCGGCTCCTCCCTCTGCCCTGTGGCGGCCTCCGGCTCTCGGCCCACTGGACAGTCAGGAAGCCCGTTTGTGGAAAAAGAAGACGCCAGTGATAACTTTGGTCTGGTCAGTGGTCTCGGTGTGTCAGGTCCATTTATATTACGGCTGCAGCGGGAACGTGAGATACGATTAAGACGTGGAGTTAAAGCGCCTCATCATCACCTCAACCAAAAACATGGCTGTGTTGTAACAACCAGCTCCAAACATTAACATTCTTGCTGGAGTCTTGAATGCATGTGAATGTCTCTCTCACCTGCCTGAATAAAGAGGGGAGTTTCCAGAAAACATGACTCCGTTCACTCTGTTTACAGCGGGGGACGTATTTTTCCTTTGAACCAAAAGTTAAAAAAATAAATAAAAAAAAGTTACAATTTGAATCACAATAAATGAAACTGGATTAAATACATTTTTTACTCATGCAAATATAAGGTTGTAGTAATATGACTGGGGAAGGCGGGGCTTCTAGTACTTACTCTGATATGGGGTACACACAGCTGACCACCATTACATTCTGCAATAAAGGAACGACACTTCATTGTTTTTAGAATGATTTGCTACATGTGCAGTAGGCTGGATCATTTCATTAACATCACGAGGAATATATGTGCAAATGTATTTGGAGTTTAAGTTTCACCTTCTCCAAACCTCGGAGAAACTTGTCCGTTCCCGTGTAGTTGTGCCTGGGGTCCATCAGCAGCTCACACAGACGCTGGATGGTGAACGGAATTCTGGAAAGGATTTTGAGACGTGTCTTAATTAGGGCTGTGGAAAATGAACGCTTTAGACCAGCAGGAGGTGTGGGGAGACGTCAACTTCTGGTCGGACATCTGCCCGACAAGCTGACTGACAGATGGAATATGAGCGACTGTAGACTGATTAATGTAACTGATGACAACGATTTCACCAAAATCATAATTAATCACAGTTTTCCTGTGTTAAGTCAGATTAACGTTTGTTATGCAAATAGATTGAAAAAAAAATTGTGAGCACCTTAGTTAACAACTACTTGGTTGTTACTAACATTTACATATATAAATATACATGTATGTTTGCACTGTATGTATGGATTTAGCTTTGCTCACCCATTGTAGCCATCCACTATTTTCAAGATCCTCGCCTTCATCTCTTCAAAGGGAATAAACTCTACGTTGGGGTTGTGCGCTCCTCTCTGCTCTGGTGTTGAAGTGTGGAAATCATCCATGACTTTTTCCAACTTAAACATGAAGTAACTTTTAAACTGGGACCATGAGATCCTGGAAGAGACAAGAGTTGCACGTGTAAAACTGGACAGTTTTCAACAGAGCGTTTTCCTCTGCTTCTTACTCACAGTGGCTGCCCCGTCTTGGCAACATGACACAGGAATTGCTCGAGTACAGGACAGGTCTCTTTCTTCCCCTTCTTTTCAAAGTCTGTACATTTAAAAAAAAAAATGTAAACATGATGAGACGGATTTATGAGGCAACAGTTTGAATGTCAGGCTTTTCACCAGTCAAACCAAATAACAAACAAAATATTTTTTTAATTTCAATACAATAACTTATCATGAGCACAGTTTAATCTGTCTATGTTCTTACAAGGCAAAAGGACTTTTCCATTAATTTGAAGATATGAAGTAATTGCTATTTATTCACAATAACAGTGACGTATTATATGAATTCAATAAATGAAAAACAACTAGAAAACGAGCATGAAGAAACAAATATTACCACAGAATGTTAACTTATTGATTCAAATTTCACTCTCAGAAACCAGAAGTTACAAGATGTGCCTGCATTTTTTATTAAAATATAAAAAAAACTATTCGTGAGACCCAGACAACAATTCTATTATTAAATGTTTAATTTAGCTGTTAAGAGAATCTGGAAAAATAACAGCACCAATTATAAGGCAGGTTACAAAACAGTTTATTAAAAGGCAACACGCAATTTGTAAACAAAATTCAGGTTAATGAGTTTTGATAACGTGACATTTCCAGTCCTCCACGGTAATCGAGGTGGTTGATTATTCCCGTCAAGCAGGTATTAACGTTTTGAATCATTACCGACATGACGTCATTGCAGACTTAATGAACTTGAGTGCAGTCCTCGGACTTTTAATTATATGTTGTCGGTGCTGAACAAAGTGTTACTCGGTATAATGAAGATTAAACTCTGCGAGGAGAATTACAGAAATTACTGAATAAATAAAACGGGTTTATGAACTTTACAACTCTGACAGTGCTACTTCCAGGTTTGGACTTGAAATATGACTTGTGTCTTTATGTGTGAAAGACAGTGACAGTCAGCATTAGTAAGTTTACACAGAGTACAGTATATAACAGGTTATCGTGCGTTATTAATGACTATGACATAACTCTTTCGGTTCATCTGGATCTAAAGATGCGCTGTCACGCACCATTGTTTTTACTGTGTGCAAAGTTACAGTCAAAGTTAGCTTGTTTACCGTGACGTTTCTACGTTAGCTGATAAATAAAAGCGTCGGTGCAGATCGAGTTACAACACAACCTCGTCCAAGCAGAACACTTGAGCAATGTATTCCAATCGAAAATCATGCATAACCGCGGAAAGTGAAAACAGTCTTTCGCTGTCTTCTTAACAAAACGAGAATGTTACTCGGCCAAGTTACGACGGTAACGCAAGTAACGTAATCAGCGAGCACTGGAACCATACGAAAACAAAAAGGCAGTGGCTATTAACGAATTGAGCGATGGCTTGAATGTAAATCCTACCTTGAAACGCTTCCAATAACGCGTCGATGTCCATATCTGTGCGCCGTCAATTGCAGAAACCACTGGCTAGTTAGCAGTAGCAGGTAGCTAGCCAACAAAGCTGCTACAAGTGAACAGGGCGCATGTGCAGCCTTGCGTATTTACATTTGTGGACGATGAGTTCCAGCCATGGTTCACAGGTGGCACACATCTGCACAGAACTTTAACGTCAAGTTTTTTTTAAACCAGTGTAGTGTTCTTCACCCGATTTATTTGAGGACAATACAATATATTGTATATATATAAAAATATATATGTAATGCATGTATTGACTAATATTTCAACATGAGCAGCAAGTTAGCTTAAAGGACCTACAATGTCTTCAGTGTTTAGTTTATACCACATTTTCATTTGGATTAATCAGTTACACACATTACACTACATTGTAAACAACAATAATAATTATCAAGAAAATGGTAGCTTTTTTAAATTATGCAAAAAAAAGGGAAATGCTGCACGGAACAAACGGGCAACAATAGTGTTGTTTGAAATAAAAAAAGATCTTTTACGGCGCCGTTGAATATAGATCACTGATGGTTTGTATTATTATTATTATCATTTATGCAGAGAAACATCTAAAAAGCATACACATTTTAAGAAACATTGCCAATGACATTACGATGAGCATCTTTCACCGCAGGGTGGCAGTGTTGCAAAGAACCGATTCGAGGCGCTTTTAGCTGTTGCAGAACAAGAAACGAATTTCACTTTAAATAAATAGTGAGAGTAATGTAGTTATAAAAACAGCTGGTCTGAATAACATGATTACGTATGTGTATAACTGTCATGGTTATTTTTATGTGGACTGAGTGTGTGAAAGGTGGGAATTGTTAGAAACTTCTGGAGAAAAGCAGAGAGGTGTCGCAGGCGCTCGGGGGATGACATGGGGTTTTTTTTTTTCCTGTTGTTGTGACGGCGCAAACCGGTGAAGCAGCCAATGAGTCAGCAGCTGATCAGGGTTAATTTCACCTCAGCAGCCTATAAATATAAGGACAACTGCACAGTCGATAACGTCTGGAGCTGAACAGCGACTGAGTTTTTGTTTTGTATAGGTTTTTCAAAGTAAATTCAACAATGGCAGTTCCCGTAGCTGTGTTTCCACCGAGCACATCCTCATCCAGCCCGGCTCTGCTGGAGCACAACATTCACATGAACGACAGGGATCTGACAAGAATTCCAACAAACACTGACATCGACAAACTGCCTTTACATTCGCCGTGGACCTTTTGGCTCGACAGGTATGAAATATAGTGAAGTATTTGTTACTCGTTTCCAAATGTCATGCAGGTGAACTCTGTTTATTTTGTTTAAATGAGAACAAAGAAAGGAACCGGGGATTTCCAGGAGTCGTGTTTAAAACAAAGACAACAACCAGAATGGACCTCCTTCTGTTATATTTACCAACCACAACACTGTTGTCAGTAATGACAGATGAACGAATAACATCAAAATGATTGGTTATGGGTTTTGACGCAGATTTGCGGTAATGGTGTTTTTACGGTGACTAACATTCCCAGGCTTTTCTGTTGAAAGATACACAATCACGTCATTATGTCTAATTGCACAATAATAAAAACAAACAAAAATGAGGCATACTCGACGCTGTTTTGTTTGCCCTCATTTATCGTTTCAAACGGCAATATGTTTTTGGTACAGAAACCTGTTGTCGCTGATCACGTGACTGCTGCTGAGAGTCATAAATGATGGAACCGTATAAAATATATCATTCAGGTAATTTTAACAAAAGGCTGAAAATATCTTCAAACAGCAAACGTCATAATGTGAGATTGCACAAAACGTTATGTAAATGAGGTTACCCTGTGCCCTAAATAACTGTTTATCCAAAGAACCCACAGTCCGGGCACAAGCCATGAATTGAGAAATGGTCCTTGAATGTGGCAACATCACACACATGTCCCTAATTCACTGGCCTGGTTTATGTTCCCTGCACAAGACAAAATGTAACGACTGTCTTTTTTTTTTTGTCAGGGTACTTTCTTAATATAGTTGTAGTTTTGATGACACAGTCTGTATGAGGAACGAGGAATAGTGAATTTGGCCGATACAGTTAACACTGTTTGAGCAATCACAGCAGAGTCCACTCCTTAGCAAGAGTGTGTGTTGGAGTCACAGGCTGCTGTGTTCGAATGAGGTCAGTGTTGTTTACTGTTTACTGGCTCATTTGTCATCTGATCCCAGCCACCCAGACCTGTCTGCTCAGGGGGGCCGGGGAGGGGAGGGGAGGTGAGGTTGGGGCTCTGACCTGAAACATGTCTGGTCATAGGTTGTGAGATTTAAACATGCTCGTACTTAATTAAGGGAGCTAATTACACAGGGCACCGCTGATCTAAACACTCTGATCTGTCTTCTGTCAGGTCTCTTCCAGGAACAACAGCTGCTGAGTGCGAGTCAAATTTGAAGAAAATCTACACTGTGGAAACTGTCCAGGTGAGAACGTGGCTCCAGCAGGCACCTGGCCAGTACACTTTGCAACAGTGGTTACGTAGTTCATTAAAAATGATGTTGGATTTGAGTAGGAAAAAGATTCTGGGCTAAGCTTTTAATCTTTTACACAATCTTAGCTGTGATTTTACCCCCCTTTTTTTGACCATATTCAGAAATTACCAAAACTAAACCAACGAGTTATGTGCATGTGTGTTGTTATCTGACTTCACGGTGTAAAATGTTAGGTTTCAAGAAAGAGGCATTGTTTATTTAGTAATCAATTCTACTGTATGTCATCAGGTGAAGTCTTTCAGGTCATTTTGTATCCTTGTTTTACCTTGTGACTATTGCTCTACCAGCCTGATTTATGAGTGACTAGCCATGCGGGTGTTGTGTAAGTAACATATAAATGGAGGCAGTATTGTTTAAGAGCAGTAAAGAAAATGCCTTGTGTGGTATGTGTGACGTGAGCTGACAGACCGCCACGTTCCAATAAAGCACTCACTTACTGTAAATCCTCCATTTCCCTGTTCACCGTGATGTAGAATTTCTGGAGAGTGTACAACAACATACCTGGGATTTCCAGCTTACCACTGAGATGCAGCTATCACCTGATGAGAGGAGAAAGGAAACCACTCTGGTGAGATGAGCTCTGAGGTCACTCAATGAAATCTAATTTAGGATGAGGTCAAATAGAAGGTGAAATGTTTTATTTCCTGGTGCATACAGGGAAGAGGAAAGCAATGCCAAAGGCGGCGTGTGGAAAATGAAAGTGCCAAAGGAATGCACTGTGAGTAATGATACATGAAATACTAGAACATTAATACTTTGATGTTGTAATAGGTGAATGACTCCATGTTTAATCTTCACAGTCTGCAGTGTGGAAGGAGTTGCTCTTGGCTACGATCGGTGAACAGTTCAGTGATTATTGTGCAGAAGGTACAAGTCTCTTATTTTATATGAAGTTATTTTCTATGGCCTTCTCTGTGTTTGATATAGTCGTGTGGCAGGTAATACCACCTAATGAGAGCTAACTTTTAATGCCCAGTTAGGCTGCATTTTTTGTATGAGGCACTGACTTAAACCAGATCAAAAAATCTGTACTTGTCCAAAGGTCACTAAACCTAGAGACTTCAAAGAGATTTGCCAAATAATGTCTACCTGTTAGTATACTGTTCTGAGATGTGTTCAACTTATGGTTTTGTCGCTTCTTCGTTGCAGAGGACGAAGTGGTCGGTGTCAGCGTCAGCGTGAGAGACAGAGAAGATGTTGTTCAGGTCTGGAACGGAAACGCGTCTTGTGTTAATGATTCAAAAGTGTTAGAGAGGATTAACGAGCTTCTCCCACAAACACCCTTCAAAGCAGTGTTCTACAAACGTAAGTTTACCTTCTTTTTTTTTCATTTACAAATATGTCAATAATTCTAAAAGTGATACACAGAGAAAATGAAAGTCATTGTTTGTGTTTGCTTCCTTTTCAGCCCATGAGGAGCACCACGCCTTTGAACGAGGTCGAGCAAGATATTAGAGAGATTTGAGGCAATGGAAGCTTAAATATGGACAATATTTGTCTATGTTTTGGACTCTGTGTTATAATTACCAGTTCTGAAGCAGTAGTGGCTCGCCATAATCTTAATGACCTCTAACAAAATTAGCAACGACATTTTTATTTTAGCTTTTTCTTTCATTGAGTTTGTCTCTGGGAGTTTTAGTATAATTTACTTTAATTTTTATACAGCAAGATTTGCATTTAAGAAAAATGCACAGCACATAATGTACAGTTATCACACTCAGTGTTTTTTAGAACAAGTGCAGTTTTCGAAGCACAGACAAATGCGTGTGTCAAATGTTTTGGGTTAACTGTAGTTGGAGGCAAAGTTTCAGCCTTTTCCTGAAGACGGATGCTTTTCTCTCTTTGTTTTGGTAATTTTTCTTTGATATTATATATAATGGTTTAGCCTTTTTAGAGATGTTTGATAGATATTTCATACACTGTTGTGCTTACAGCATATGTATAAGAAAACTTGCACATTTACAATGAGTTCTTTGCAATATGAGAAAAGTGTGTTTTCTTTTGTGTAAAATGACCTCACACCAAATGAGTGAATGTTTAGAAATACTGTATACGCAATCACTTTTCTAGACTTTGTGTATAATTTGCAGTGTTACTGTTATCCTAAATCAAGCACTTTGTTTTTCCGTATTGGACATGTTTATGACGTCACGTCCTTCTGGATCGCTGTTTGTTGTTGTAATTACAAAAAAAAACCACACACACAAAAAAAATTTTGTTTGGATTTTTTCACCTTGTCTGAATGAGAATAAAATTTTGTAAACCTTTGTAAAGAAACGAATTTTGTTCTTCGACGTTACTTTCAGATATTACAGGAAAAGTATTTCTGAAACTTGCTAATTTGCGACGGTGCTAATTCCATTTGCACCGCGAATTCTTTATACTACTTGAAAAGAAAACCTAGCGGGGATGAAAAAGATATATTTGTCATTAATTAAAATATATAATGACACATTTTGTCGGATTTACGTGCACGGAAACGTGCGAATGTGTACTCAATGAGAAAGGTTATATACTTCATCAGCTGCGATGGCCGAGTGGTTAAGGCGTTGGACTTGAAATCCAATGGGGTCTCCCCGCGCAGGTTCGAACCCTGCTCGCAGCGATTCTTTTTTTTTTATTATTATTCTTCTTAGGTCATTAAGTTTATTATTATTCTTAGGTCATTAGGTTTGACTTGTTAAAAACTAATTATTTTTAAGATTAGTTTTAACTGCATGGTAAAGTTGAATCAATAAAGATCATTATGTACGATAACCATGATCGACCAGAATTATCGATGCCTGTATACTTGCATTTTACATGACTGGACGGCCCTCTGTCGATGATATACTGGTACTGCGTATTCAGGTAAAAAAAAAAAAGAAACGTCTAAAATTTCTAGATGTTATATTTCTATGGTCCCGAAGTTGCAATAAAATTTTTTCTCACAAATTACCGATAACCTTTAATGTTACTATATTTGGTGTATGCGTATACTATGTGCAACCTACAAGAGTTAAAAAAATTACCTTCAGATATTATAGTTTGTATGGCTCACTCATATCTGGCAGTAGCCTGAAGTATTTTCGGTTTAGCCCTCTGTTACTAATTTTGTAGACCAAGGCTACAAAAGTACGTACAAAGAGTACAAAGTCTATAATGTAACATATATTATCGTATTTTACACGTTGCTGCATTAACCAAACACCAAAGAAGTTAATAATTTACAGCGATGGCGTTACTAATTTCATTAAGAACACTGCAAAACATAAATTTCTTTTAATTGTTGAATTGAGACTTAAATTTTTGGATTACAGGAGGCAGTCCCGCGTGTCCGCATGACGTCACTATTGTTTACTTTTACCGTGGCCACGCCCACTGTTAGCAACTTGTGGCTAACTGTGTTGAGAGAAGGCAGAGCTGAGAGCTGCTCCTTCAGACAACACCCGAGTCCCACACTGTCTGCCTGCGCACAATAAGGTGAGTTCACTTCCCACTAACGTAGCACAGGCTGAGTGTTGACCGACAACGACTTCATCAACACATTTGTATTTTTTGCGCGATCTTTGTAAATAAATGGGGAAGAGGGAGGGGGGGTGAAATGCGACCTGTTTCTTTCACAAGCTAGCGTCAAGAGGCGTTGTTAGCCATTGTGCTGCTGAAGGTAAACGCTGTTCGGAATATTCGTCCAAAACTGTCTTACTATGGCTGCCAAAAAATGTTTCGCGAAAGCAGCCACGGAACGGGGCTCAAGATTATCCGCGGAGTTCACACAGCCACGCCGTGGACGTCCTCTTCACACCGGATACGTGCCTAGCACAAGGCTCAACGCAGACCACAGATTTCAGAGTTTTAATGTAAACCGATATCGATGTATATCATTAAGCATAAAGACAAAATCCAAGACAGATATTTGGATTCAGTTTAACTGTGAGTCACGTCAGAAAACCTCGGTTATTACTAATGTCTCGCTCCGTGCTGTGTCTTTACACCAGAACACTTGGTGTTAAATTATCTAAGATTACGTGATTCACGCTTAGTTCAACAAACGCTCTCTGAACTTTCTACTGTGTTTATTTCCCTGTGCATAGAGCTAGTTTATGTTTTGTTCAGATGGAAACAATTAAAAACGTTTTCCAAGGAAAATAACACGTTACACAAAAAAAGTCAAATTTAAAGAACATTTTTTTCACCCTCAGAAGTCTCATAAAATAGAATCCTGCTTAAGAGAAAACAATGGAGATATGACAAATAGTATAAAATAAAATGTCTGTCATTTGTAGAAAAAAAAGCTTGCACAAAGGATTTAGAATCAAGTCATTTGAGCAGACACACAGACTGCAGTATAAAAAACTAAAGCAGTATTTTACAGAGTAAAAACTGAAGATGAGACATGTGTCAGTCCAAGCAAACACTATAACTGCGTTCTTTTGTGAACGTGTCAAATCTTGACATTTTTTATAATGTCAATATACTGTTACATTTATAAATCCTAATGACTGCGCAAAGTCCAGCAGTATTTTATATATATTTGGGTGTTATTTTGTCCTCTCTTTCGGAGCATGAACTGATTTAAAATAAACTTCCATTTGGATAAAGTGCACATGTGAAGGTGGATGGTGTTTACTCTGCTATAATGGAGAATGCGGCGGTTGTTTGCTTACGGAAAAGCTCTCTTCTCTGTGTTTCCTTCACATTCTTTGAAGAGGGGAGGCCCACTGTGTAAAAGTTGCCCCTGTGGTGAGAACGATTCGAAAACAGTAAAAACTCATCACAAGCATATTATTTAGCCCATTCCAAAGGCAGGTGTGCTGCAGCACCACTGTTTAATTATCCTAATCCTGCAGCATCTAGAAAAGGTCTGATGTGGCTCCAGCATAATGCGTAAAGGAGCCAGGTGGAGCCATGGTTTTTTTTTTGTTTTGTTTTTTTTTAAACAAAATAACCCCCCCACCCCCTTAACCTCTTCTAAAATGCCTACAGGAAACACTGCCCTTTGTCTGCAGAAATCCTCATCCTGAAAGCAAAAACAAACAGTGAAAAACCTCACCAACAACCGCCAGGTTTGATTAGAAAGGTTTTAAGCTTTGCATCATAGACGCTGCGTCTGATTTCCATCTAGGACTGCTACTAACTCATTTTCATAATGGATGAAATGGTTGGTTATAGTTTGAACTAACTTATTATTCATTTAGTTTAAAAATTAGTCAAGGAGTCAAAATATATATATATTTTTAGCAAAACAATTTTTTTTGGTTGCTAATTTATTTAAACAATATGCTGTCCATATGACTTAAAGGATGTACCACAGATCGTACACAGTTCACATTTTGAGAACACCTACATAGATGATCAAAAACATGTGCAGTGGTTAATTTTTTTAAAGTCAAATTCAAAAGTGCATACATTTTATTTTCATTTTATTTGTCACTTACCAATATGATTTTTAATTTTACTTCTTTTTTTAAAGTGACATTAATTGTTACAGTCGTATTTACCTCCATTCATATCCATTTAGCACAGCTTTGAAACTTGACCACAACTAAAACTGCAAACTGTAGACTGCAGTCTCCTGTCTCCGTTCATGTATAAGCATAACCAAAGTTCATGACTGCATCAGGGTTTGTAGTTTAACCTAATCTGATCGTCTCCCATGGCCCTCACCACAATGGACCTCAGTGTTGCCATACTGAGTCACAGACTGACATCAGTGTGGAAATTTGACTGCAGTGTAACCATGAAACTAGTAATGTTACCGCGGAGTCTAACATGTGGTCAGTTTCATTTAAGGTTCTCTGTTTAGGTTTCCCTGTGTGCAGCCTGTTTGTTTGCCTAGTTTATTTACTTTTGTTTACTCTGTATAGCTTTCGACTCCAACAGTCACGGTCTGTATACATAATAGCCTTCTTGTGCATTGTACTACCTGCCACAGCCGTTTATCGCACCACCTGGTTAATGGTAAATTGTTCCAGAAGGAAGATATGTTTGCACATAAACACAGACCCAGGGCCCCTGTGTTTACAGTAGTCATGGCAGCACTCAGTTATTCAACAAATAGAGCAGGCATGTTCCTCTCTCATGTGTAGAAGAGAATGTTTGTCTTGGTGGGTAGAGTGATAACAGTATATTGCTTTACTTTTGGTGCTACAGTCTTCTCCATTCAGTGGAATTACTTTATCATAACCTTGTTAATGTTGGTTGACTGTGATGTAGTGCTAATCGTGACTTTTTTTTTTATGTTTTTGAAACTTAGAAAAATTTGCCTCCGACTTAATTTTCTTTTTCTTGTTTTTGTTTTTTCCTTCTTCCTACATTTCCTCGTGTTGTTGTTCTTTATGCAGCTGTTTTCATTTACTCACATTTCCGTTCACAGGTCACTGAAGTCCAGATGCATGAGTCTGGGTCAGAACCAACAAGCCACACCATTCCAGCAAGTCAAACAGAGATCGGGAACCACAGTGAGAATGAGGGTCAACTGAGCAGCAGAGAC